CATGTAGTAGAAGGGCTGATTTGCCAGTGTTTCTTGTACAGGGGCTGAATTGCCACAACATTGCAGGTACAGGGGCTGAATTGCACCTTCTGCCTATAATTTTTTAAAAGTTATTTTAATAAATTTATAAAATAAACTGTATTTTTAATATATAATTTACTTTATAAAATATTTTTTTGTTTTCTTATTCTACTTCATTTTTTTAATTTTAATTTTTTTAATTGAAATAAAAGTACACTTGATTTAATAAAACTTTAGTGTTGGTTACACTAAAAAAAATCACTGAGTGCAACTAACATTCCTCTTTGTCGTTTGCAAAGAAGAAATTAAATGGCGTAAAGGGCAATGAGGGAGTCTCAGGCACGTCACTTTCCAGCCATATAACCTCTCATGTTAGCATTTTTTGCTCAGGCATGACAAAGGAGAAAAGTGGTTAAGTACCAGTGAGAAAAAAAGTGCATGGTTAGGATTTGAATTCAATCTCTAGTTTAGTCTCCACATACAATGTAATAAAATAAAATTATATATAAAATTACTTACTAACTATGAATTAACACGTTGGGATCGATCAAATGATAAGATTTGATATGAACTATACTAATAATAGGAATTTAGAATTTTATATTTTTCAATTATTATTTGAGTAAAAATATTTTCAACGAGTTACATTTATCATAATTTGATAGAGATTATTTTGTATTTATGGAGAAGCCAATTTACAATTCTCATAGATCGACTTGAGTTATTAATCAGCAGAGAGTTCACAGTTCTTTTAGGACAAAAAAAAATGTTTGCTTTCTGCACAAGGCAGCTATGAACCTTTAAAAGTTGAAGTGGTACTCCCCAGCTAAAGTCCCAGTGTTTTGGGCAATTTGGCAAGCTTTAAGTTTCCATCATCACGTGTGACTTGTGTTAATATATTTAGAAATAAATTAGATTAAATAATATTAACATTATTTTTTTATATTATCAGAAGTTAATTAGGATTTCAACCCTTAACTTAGTAATTAATTATAGTAGATACCTTAATCTCAGCATATCTATTTCTTTTTAAGATTTTAAGTTACATAATAATAAATAATTTTTGTTTAACTTATCTCATTTGGTTTACATAATTTAATAGTAATTTATTTTCAATAAAAATATAAAAAAGTTAAATTTAAATTACGTACTTATTATATAATTTAAATTCAAAACATGTCAAGCCACATATATAAGTCCATCTGCAACCTCAACATCTTTTTCTTTAAACATTTTTAAATTATGAGAAGGGAAATTTTTTTAAAATAAGCATAATCTAGGAAATAAAAGATAAAAATATTATAATATTATAATATTATAATTTAAAATTTAATTATTATCAAAATATTAAACATACTTACCGATTAAACATGAGAGCTCAAGATATGAAAAGGGAATTAAAGAATTAGACTTAAGTTATAGACGTGAATCGTGACGGCGCACCCTCTAAAGCTTTAATCATGGGGAGTGAGAGAGACTGGTGGGGCATTTTTCTATGATCTTTGTAATTGTACTATAAATTAAATTGTCAGATCATTTTCCTTTGATCCCCGTCCCTTTTAAACGACAGCTTTTGACGTGTTTAGTAGGTAAGGCATCCACATCTTCCACGCTGTACGTGGCAGTCAATAAGTGGTCAACAGAGTTTTTGCAATTATAAGAATCTAAAAGCGTTACGTAATCTAATTATTTTAAATTGTATAATTTTAATTATTAAATTAAAATAAAATTTTAATATTAAATTTTTTTTATTTAATAATTTATATTTTATAATTTTAATACAATTTAACATATATAATACAACTCTTTAAAAATTTTACGATCTTTTATATTTTGTTTTTATTATATTTATGAATTCATTTTTTTGTATTATAAAATTAATTTTTTAAAAATAATTTTAACAAAAATATTATAATTATAATAATACATAATATTATAATTTTATAATATGATATATTATTATATAATTATTTTTTATTTAAAAATTTACTTATAATATTATAAGTTTAGATATTAGTATATATCAGTTTCAATTTTAAAAATTAATTAAAATTTTAATTTATATCTAAAAATTAAAATTTTATCATATTAAATATTAATATCTAAATTTAAAAATTCGTTATATATTTTAATATACTAAGTTTTTATATTTAAATATCAATATTTAATAAGATAATTTTTTAAATTTTGAATTAAATTTTAATTAAATAAAACAATATAGTTTAAGGTTGAGATTCTAATTTTTTTTTTAAGAATAAAGATTAATATGTAATTTTTCCTAATTATAATATTATCAAAAACCTTAACCATATCTCGCATTAGTGCATTTAAAAAAGAGTAATAATAAGGAGGAAAAAAAATTAAACAAAAATTTAAAATTAATAATATTGATATAAATTATATTATTAAATTAATTAATACATATAATATTATGAATTTAAAAAAAATTAATTATTAAATAATATAAAATTAACATTTTAATATGTTAAATAATATAATTTATATCACATTATTCATCTCATATTTTAATTTTATTTATTATTATTTTTAAAAAAATTCAATTTCATGATAATTGAGGGTATTTTGTTTTGTTTTGGATCCGTAACACGCGGTTAAGAGAAGATAAGCCCGCCTGGCGCTTTAAGTCTCTCACACGGGGAAGATGATCCTTGACTCCTTGTAGATTCCAGTGGACGCAAACACGACCCAGTTTGGTATTGCGTCCTTTTCCCCCACTTCCCCGTTAAAGTGGAAACAGCACCCGTCATTCGTCAAGACAAGAAAAGAATAATTAATTTGCAAAATTTTCCAAATGACAAGTCTTGGTTAATTAAGAGTTTAAATCATTCTTGTAGGAGTATTAAAATTTGTAAAACTTTCTTGCATTGTGTTATACCATATTATAAATTGTAATATGAATGGAAAAAAAATTCTAATATTGTTCATCAAATTATTACAAGGTTATTATTATTATTATTATTATTACGTTATTATGTTATTATTTAAAATTAAATATTTTTAAATTTATTTTTATGTATTTAAAGATTAATTTTTTTAATACTTTTATAGGTGATTTGAAAGAACATTTTATATGTTTAAATAAATTAAATTTTTTAAGTGTTGGATTCCACATTTAAATCTTAAATTTAATTTATAAAATAATACTTATTTAAGAGTTAATTGAACATTTAACTATTTATTATTATTATTATTCCTAAAGCAATACTAGGAGTGCAAATTTCCTTCTTGTTTCTTTGGATACAAGGAAAAATTTAAAGACCGATTATTGTGGCGGAATTTCCTTCGAAGGTTTAAAGAAGCCAAAATGACTAAAATACAAAAAGGACTTGGAATTTGGGAAAATATCAAGTCCACGAAAGGCGTAGTGGGCACCCAAGGTTATGGTCAATGGCGGTATTCGGATCACAAATCACAATCGCATCATTCTTTTTCATATTATGTATGGTCGTCACACAGACGAAGTCCATAAAATCTTAAACTAAGATTAAGGAATAATCAATTGAATTAGATCCCTTGGCTGATGTAATCTTTACGTTATTAGAAAAAAATGGGCGCATGTGGAAGGACCCAATAAAATAGAGATGTTGTTTGGTAAGGGTCTTTCCTGATCGTCCATTTCCTCCTCTTCAACAACCCCAGATGAGTTTCATAATTAAGAAATACTCAGAAAAACGTTGAAATTGGCCATTGAAGCGCAGATGGAATTAAGTAGGAAGTGAGTCTGTGGGGCTTTTGGAAAGTGGGAAGGGAAAGAAACTAATTGGATTTGGGTTGAATTCGTTTCCAGTGAAAGCTCAGCTTCTGTTTTTATTGGGGTTTAATAGGAATTGGTGCCTTGCATTGCATGCCTTCCCTGTGTTTGCTGCTCAAGGGAATTGAAAATTCAAAATTGAATTAATTGGCCGGATAATCACATTATGATGTACAATTCGCTGCTTCTCCCCACCCTACTCCCTCCCAATTTTTTTTTTTTTTTTGTACATCTGATTATGAGTTATAAAATAGAGAATATCCCCCACCTGATTCAAGGCTTAAACTTAAGATTTCCAACTTAGAGTCTCAAGTTCTTAACTATTGAATCACTTCATTGAAGTTTTTGCTTCTTGCCTTTTGTTGTAAGAGAATACATTCTCTACTTAATTTAAGTACCAATCAACTCATTTCTTTTTTTTTTTTTTTTTTGGTAATAACTCATTTCAGTTTTTAAATCTCATTTATGATTTGTTTGGGAACATGAATTTGATAGGGTGTATTTGAATTTGAACACCTCAAACTCAATATCACAATTTCTTTTCATATAAATAAAATGCAATTAAATTTGAGCAAAAATACATGTATTTCACTGTAGGTATTTGAAAGAGAAAAAAACATGTATTTCAAATTCATCATTTAACCCATGAATTTCAATTTCTACGTGAATTTAAGACTATTGCTACACGTTGACAGTGATGAAGCCTCTATCGTGGTTGGCAGTGCAGAGCTTGTCAGAACCCATTGGAAGCACGATTCTAGTGATATCTTTTTGGTGCCCTTAAAGATTCATGAAATTAAAGAAGGCCTCAAGTAGGGTTCTTTCAGTGGTTCCTTAATCTTGTTTGTAAGGGGTATTTTCTTCTTAATCGTGACCTTTTTGGGGGGTTCTTTCTCTGTTGCCACTATTAAGGGGATGACTTCCTTGATCATGGTTGCTGGAGATTGATCCTTAGAGTGCAAAAACCAACAATTTGGGCCATATTTGCAGCGACCCATTAGTCAAAACTTGCAAACCGATGGAGATTTGAACTTGATGGGTGGTGAGTACAATTGGGCGATTGCCATTGGAACAGAAAGATCCAAAACTAGATTATGAAGTAGTAGCGTGTGTCTATCCTTGAGTTTTCATTATCTCTCTCAATAGTAGGTTCTTAATCGAAGCTCTAATCTTTTCATTGGGTTTTCCTTCTTTCAGTTTGCCTTCTAGTGGTTTTTTGTTCTATTGTTCTTGTTATTTTGTCATTCTCCCCAAGTGATTTGCTTTTATAGGTGGTTGCCCAATCTTTTGAATTTAAACCCGTTAGTTTTGCATTTAGAGCTTTATCTCCTTACTCTTTCTTTCCTTAATATTCTTTCTTTTTCTTATATAATTTGCTAGCAAAATCAACCCCATTTTTGGTAGATTACAAATTAGTTTGAGTTTTCTATAGTTTATTTTGCTGATATAAGCCCCATTTTTGGTAGATTACATATTAGTGTAGCTTAAAAATTTGTCGGTTGTGGATTTTTTTTTTTTTTTTTTTTTTTAAGGAATGAAGTGGAAATGCTATGTTGAAATAAACAATGACATGGATATAAAATGGATCCACATTATCATTT